TGCAGGCCTCTGAATCCGGCCTGTTTGTGTTTTTCATCTCAGCGATTATATTGTCCTGTGCTTTAAGTTGTTCCTTCGTCTTTTCAAGGACTTTACTGGTACTGGATAGCTCTTGTTTGAGTTGGACTTTTTCTCTCACCGAACTGTTATGCTGATATCAGATCTCCTTTTATGCATTCATTTGGGTCTCCAGCTCCTTGTCTTTCTTCTGGAAAGAAGCTTTGAGTTTTTGCATCTCCATATCGTCAGTCTTATTCCTGACCACAAACTTTCATTGGAGGAAGAAGAGAGCATTTATTAATTTATCAGAAAAACTTATACATAGAATAGAACAATTAAAACAATATTCACAGTATAACATTTTGAAAAACCTTAGAAGAGCCTTAGAAGAAGTCAAATATATCCCCTTCTATCACGAAACTAATAAGAAATGCCTTTGTGATCGGATTTGCGATTTGAATTTCAAAGTTCACATCTTAAACATGTCCAGAAGAATTTACAAAGGCTGAAATATGAACTGACAAACTAATCCAAGAATCACATTTCAAAAGATGTTTGTACTACAGAGTTACAAAGCATTTTTTATGCAGAATAGGACATATTTTGTTGTGTGTATATAGAGGAAATTCTAGTGCTTCAAAATTGTTGTCATTTTGATTCGATAAGAGAGACACAATTGAAATACTTTTTTTACTTGTCTGTATTTTCTTTGCATTGCAGAATACACTGACTAAAACCAATCCTGACACATGGTTTTGTTAGACTGCAGAACCTCCCAATATTGTATGGAATGTTTCTAAAGTTTATCAACAATTTCATCTGACCTTTGCCACCTCAATGTGAAAGTAGTGCACAGTAAATTGCTCTTGAGTCTGACTTTGAAATCTTGGAGCCGTACCAAAAAACACTACAGATAAAGTAGGTGTATGTGAGAGACAGGCCGCAGGTGGGACACTGGTTTTCCTGTCCTGACCTGTCCCTTGTCTTTTCTTAAAAGTGAACTCTTTCTCACAGCTGTAGATACGAGCTTTTGTCTGATTAATAACAGGTCTAATGATACATTTCCTTTGTGCATGAATCACTTCTTTTTAACGCTTGCTACCCACACCTTTTATCTACTCCTGGCACCATTTCTTCCTCCATGTAATCAAGATCAAGAACACGTCTATTCTGAGTCTGAAAAGTGCCCATTGCTGCTCATATGAAATGTAATGCACTATAAAGTACTTACCTGTAAATATGAAATTGAAAATAGAAAGATATGATATAGAAATGGTAATATTAGCCAGAACAATATGCTTCTAATGATGCAAAACTGCACGCATATTTGAGCTTATACTATGATTAGGTTTATAGTTAGACACTAGCTACATCTGAAATTAAAACCTGATGATAAAATCTATCTTTTATGGACAATATAAAATGGGTTGTGATAGGGATCTGTCCAGTTGGTTTACTACAGTAATGAGTTTTTCTCTTAGTTCTGTGTCTTCAAATGAAAATAAAACAATTTTCATAATGATGGTGAGAATTGAGGTTAAAGAAAGAAAATCTAATCACTTCATTCAACATTCTTAAAAGTTCATATATTGCTCAGCCTAAAAATCCAATGTATACAACAACAACTCATTTATTTAATTAGCAGAGGTGGGGATTTGTAAGTTGTGACTTGGACTCGAGTCAGATTTGAGTTACTATTTTTAGGACTTGAGACTTGGCCTTATAAAATGGACTAAGACTTGGGACTTGAACTTGAGGCCTGTGACTTGAGAAGACTTGAGAAGCACTTATAAATCTGAATTCCTTCTTTTCTGACTGTAATGATTCAGTCTAAAATCTTGTCAAGATATTTAAAAAGGAAAAAAGGTGCATTTCTACTACTCTTACATACTCTATAAATACTCATATATAAATAAATTGTACTTATAAAGTCTACTTATATAGTATATCTTAAAATTCATATAAATTGCAAAAATCTAAGCTTTATTTGGTACTTTGGTTTAAAGATTTGAAATGGCTTGAAGCTCAAAGCAGACGACTTGGGACTTGACTTGGACATGAGGTCAGAGACTTGAGACTTTTGAGACTTGCAAAACAATGACTTGGTCCCATCTCTGTGAATTAGTGACACTAATAAGTCAACTTATAAAACATTATTATGTTCTGCGAATATAGCACAGTTTGTTGTAGAAATAGTTTGACTTCTTGAAGATTTCAACAATGTTAAAAAAAAGTCTATATGGAACTCTTATAGTAATTCCACACATTTTAAACCCAGTTAAGATTACTTGCTAGGGATGTAACAATAACTGAAATATCGTGATATCAAACGGTGAGATGCAAATCGTGATAATATCGTACAGAGAGATTTGGATATTGTTACATCCCTATTACTTGCTATTTTCTTATACAACATGTGTCACCAATAAGGAAAGCAGATTTTTCAAAATAAGACCTGACAAAGAAAGCTTTGTTTTGTTGTTGTTTGCAAAGAACAATTTATTAGGTAAATACTGTATAATTGCACAGTGCAGGTTTGATTGCGATTAATCATGCAGTACAATCTCGATGCTGTGATCTGAACATGACCGCTGTTGGCTTCTGCAGTGTCTCCATGGCGATATTGTGTTGTACTACAGCGTGACAGGTGTAACCTCCTGCGTGCGGCGCTAACAGCCTCAGACACACTCGGACTGGGACACAGCTAATGCAAAGCGATGGGGGAAGTCTGCACTAATGTGAACGCTCCAGGCTCCATCTGTCACAGCTGCCACTCACTGCTCTAATGTCCAACAGTTAAACGACACCAAGCACCCACCAGTGTGAAATCACAGGAGAGGGAGAGAGAGCACGGCTGAATCACAAAGCACAATGACCCACAAGATTTCAGAAACTCAGAATTTGTCTATAATTGAAGTGGTTATTTCTATTCATACTGAAGGTTGGGAGCTAACACTGGTAAGACAAACAACAAGGCAGTCTTCTCGTAGCAAAAGTTTTAAAAGTCTGGGCCCTCTGTCAAAACTGGAGAAAGAAAGTAGCTGCACAGCTGCTTGGAGCTCTGTTTTCTTTTCAATTACACCACATGTGACGTTTTGGGTCATTATCATTAGAAAGTTTTTAAAAACATAGCGTGATATTTATTTTGTTTTTGTTTTCATTTTTCCTGCAGGTTTTTCCAACCCAAAGCCTTCCCAGACTATTAGTGAGGACTAATAGACTGGAAAGTGTGTAGTGTTGAAATGTGATTGTACTGCTGCATGATTGGGGGAAAAATATCTCATTTGATCTTTTTTTGACAGGCATTGCAATTGTGATTAGATTTGTGATTTATTTCTTAATAGAATTCTATTCCAAGTTCATTCACATTCAGGAGAAAAGACAAAAATTGAAATATGAACTGACAAACCAACACAAGAATCACATTTTAAGGGTTAAGAGTTTTTATGCAGAAAAACACTGGATATTTAGTGGTTTGTGAAGGAAATTATGGTACTTAGTGTGACAATGTGGGCCTTTGTCCCATTTTAAACTCTAATGAATTTAATTTCACATTAGTTAATTTGTTATCTTATCCTACCAATACAGTTTCAATAATTCTTAGTTTGTTTTGTTAATTATCACATAACACATTGTTCATTTAAATATACTTTGATAATTCGTTTTAGTTTCCATATTCATTCATACTTGCCTACAGCTCCACATGGTCTAAAACCTTGGAGGAGGTCATGGGTTGGTCCATGTGGAGGGGGAACTGGTTTGTTTTGTTTAATTGTTTTTGTGTATTTGGTTTTATAGTTTAGTTTCAACACAGTTTAGTTTATGTTAATCACTTTGATTCAAAAGGGACTCAGGCCCATATAAACAAAAATCCTTGCTTTGGACTTTGGAAAGTTATCTGTAAAGGAATTGATACTTGCCCGGGGGAGGTACTTCCCACTCGGGGGTATAAAGCAAGCATGTGTTCAAATAGGGAGAGACTTCTGTGCAGATGGGTGCAGGTTGTTGTTGCTGTTTGATTTAATTTGAGTTACTTTTTTCTGTTTATTTGTTTGAACAGTTAATTTGTGATTAAGTTATTTTGCAACTGGTCAAAGACACTTTTTTGGTTTTAGTCTGCCTCCTACTTGACCACATTGGCCAGCTTCCCCACATGCAATCTTTGCAATTTTGATTTGTTTGCAAATAATATTGTAGCCCTAGATTGCACTGCAAATATTGTTCATTTAACAGCAGATTATAGAGTTCATCTCCTTTATTTTACTAGATACGTGTATTTTTTGTTTTTAAAAGTTTTGTGTGTGTTTTTGGTCTAGATTTGTTGGGTTTTATTATCATTCAGTCAAAGCAATAAAAGAAAACACTTTAAAAACATGTAATCTATGTAATACAATACAAGGTTTTGTGGTTCTCCTTCGTGCAGTGGGCTGTTGAGTGCAGTTGTGGTCCTCTGTGAATGGAGGTGGTTAGTGACTCATTATGGGCTGTCTCTGTGGTACTTCTTCCATCATTAGTACTTTTCTTCTGTGTAATTGACTGGAGGACCGCAGGTGATGGCCCTTTGTACAAATAAAGAGCAGTAAAATTGTTGCAGATCATTGGTTATAAGTAGCCAAACCTCCATTAAGTATAACATATACATTTGCACACCAAGAATTACCTCAAAAACCCAGCAAGGTGCGCAGTCTTCAAGTACCTGTTACATGAGTGTCAGGGGATGAAATGTATGTCAAATACAAATTCACTTATTACATTTTTAGAAATTTGTTGATTCCAAATTCAGCCAACTATATGTACAGATTAATTTGGTTGAGTATATATTTAATTATCCCTAAGGTCAGTCTTTGTAATATGCTGGTACTTCATCCGGACATGTACAGATATGTTCAAATGCCTCTAGGAAGTCTGCATACATATGTATTCTGAGTTTTTCTAATTGTGAATTTCCACATTTTCAAGTATTTTCACATTTAAACTTTTTTTCTTGATGTATTTTACAGTGAAGCCCACTGTCATCGATGTGGACATTTATGTGAACAGCATTGGACCAGTCTCCTCTATAAACATGGTGAGTCCTTTAACATGTACAGATAAACATCAACAAATGTGTGGAAGAGTTGTACATTTTCTCTAATGGCTGGTCATCTCTCAAAAACTGGAAATTACTTTTTTATCTATAGTATTTCTCTGTGCTATGAGCAGTGTTTGGCAAGTTCCTCCCAAAAGTACAAGAAAGTTACTTCTGATATAGCATAATTTATTTTTCTTAAAAGGTGCTATGGAGGTGTTCAGCAATATGACCCACGGCTGGAGTGAGTATGAATAAGGCGTAACTGAGTCGAACACTCACAGCCCATCCATCAAAATCGGTGTTAAATTCTGTAATGTAAAATAATGTACTGATAAGTCATGGGACACAGGCTAAATGAACACGTGGACTGTATGACTGATGTGGAGAGCTCCAATGGGACATCCCGGTGTCAGCTAACTCATTCTATAATCTGTCCCATCTGGCGCCAGTACAGGTGTGTAACTGTGTGTGCAAATGTAGATGAATGATTCACACAGGACAGGAGACAGCTAGCACCTCTCTGACCAATGACCCTTAGAGCACAGTAAGGATAGATGGTGCTATAGGCCTGTGGAGGGACTGTGGAGGTCAGCAAGTTAGACCAAAGGTGTTTTTTTCAAATGTATATAAATGATAGAAAGCATGTTATAATTCAGTCACATTACATTATGCTGGTGTTGGTGCATGTGCAGAAATATAATATGGGCTGCTGTTGGTTTGAGTCTCAGTCTCACACATTCATACTGCAACTGTACAATTTTGGAAAGTGAGAGACTAAGAAAGTAGAATATTCTACTTTTTGACATCGGCTCTTATGTAAATTTCCTACACATGCTCTGTTTGACTCCATCATTGAAATAATATGTTTAAATGTTTGCATTGTCTGATTACAAAGTTTTGTCATAAATATTTTACTCAGTTAAATGTTTACAATCAAATCTACTAAATACTTATATTATTGCAAGTATTTGTACTTAAGTGCAACTTCAACTAATGCAGCTGCTTGTACTTACACAATTACTGTACAGTTGTGTCACCGCATGTATTACTACTACTAATTCAGTATACCACAATGACGAACTGATTATTTTCACTACTATCTGTCATACTGCTTTTACAACCAGTTACAAAATCTTGACCTTTACCAAGTGAAATCTGTTTGGAGGCAATTTAGTCATTTAGTTATGTTTATGTTATGTCTACCTTACCTTCTAGAGAAAATTCTGTGACAGCTTGTCAAGTGTGTTAGTGAGCTGCTGCTGCTGCACTCAAGGACCCATCTCCAGATCTTGAGTTAGGCTTCGTCAGGACCACCATGGCTGGAGGATTTTACCTATTGTGCTTTTTGTTTTGGTTTGACAGGGGAAACAAGAGTACAAGGAGGAAACCTATCTAGGCTAGATACATGTAAATTCTGCACTGGAATGTGCAAACTCTCCACAAAAAGTACCCGGGGATTGAAATTGGAACCTTCTTGCTGTGAGGCATGATTGCTAGCCACTCAGCCATCGTACTACAATATTTACTCTGTTTTTAAGTAGTTGGCCCTCAACCCTCAGATGTCATGAGCTGATGATGATCACATAAAGTGCTCTGCTGCGTTGGGGAAAACCAGGTCAGCAATAACTAATGTCCAGTCACACAGCTCTGGCTCAGCAGCTTTTGACAAGTGACAAGTGAATCAGTTTTTAATATTACTTTCACTGACACATGCATGACGCCACCTGACGCTCGCTGTGCATACTAAGAGAGTCTCAAGGCACTTTTATGAATGAACAAGCAAAACAGAAGAAGAGAGAAAAACCTGCAGTAACCTTTAGATAACTTCTGTGGTAGTTTAGTAGGAGGCTTCCTCAGTAACAATATTAATAGTGATTAACATTGTTTATTATTATTATTATTATTATTATTTATTATTATTATTTTTTTGTTTAATGGTTCATAGATCATGGGCCTTTTTTGACAAATTTAGTCATTTTGTCTGTTTTTTATGGTGCACTTGGTATTACTTTTTATAGAGCCCTTTAATCTATTGTATTGTAGTGGGAATGTCTACTAAATATTCACTCTACTATATTTTCAGCAATGTGACAAAGTGAAAGGTGACACAAAATCAAGTTGGTGGAAAGCTCAACATTTTAAAGGTGAACTGTGTAACTTTCCTGATCAATGGTACACCACGTGCTAGCTTGCTTACAGCAACAATGCATGTTTGCATTATTTGTTTATCAATAATTCATTGAATAAATGCTACCAGAGTTTAATGCTATACTGTGGCATGTGGAATATTCTACATATTCCAGGCAAAGCTTTAACATCTCTATGGAGACAAGCAGGTGGCATGCCTTCCATCAGTGTATTTTTAATTTTAAGTGTAACTATTGTGCTTTTACAGATAATTTCATGGTAAGAGACCTCGACCATGCACTATAGTGAAAAAGCATTTTAGCTTTAAATAAGAAATCATAGGAACTCCAGTCAGTGCGTTTCCTCCCTGATCTTTTTTGGCAGGTCATCCCTCGCTCACGAGAATAGAAAGGCCTGAGTCAGCTGTGTTTTGGCCCCTGATTTGTCTGAAGAAATGAACCAGGAGAGGGGCAGGAGTGTGCTCAGCAATGTGCAGGTCAAAGGACACAAACTGCAGGGTTGGAGCAGGTACAACAGAGACCTTATTAAATTATAGACTTGATAATAGATGGAGGCGGTGTGATCCTGTGCTTTTGTAAATGAACCCTGTGAAGTTTTGGAACTATCCATGGTGCTGAACAGATTTCCCAACAGCACCACAGACTGGAGTAGTTTAAAAGTAAAAGTGTAAATAAATAAACGATAAACGATGATACCGAAACTAATTTATGCCACAACAAAGAAGAATTAAACTCTAGTAAGTGTAGCTATAGAAGCATTAAGAGAATGTATATTAAGCCCCAAGAAATATTTTTCCAGCTTTCATATATTGAACTATAAGTTTTAAATAGTAATGACTGTGGCAGCCCTGCATATTTGTATTTTATATTGATAGTTACTTTAGAGCAGTGCTGACAATTTAGAAAAAGTACAGTTTAGCTAAAACATGCACTTGACTCTTGCTGTACAAAAGCCCATTAGAAACAATTACACATAAGCTGTATTTGAATCAGTGCTCTGCAGAAACTATTCTTCATCCAGTTCCTTATGTTATTGTGTAAAACAGTGCTGAGCATAAGTAATATGATTAAACATCTTTAATAACGCAATGCACAAGTGGGATTGTACGTACAAATAATGACCATATTTACATAATGTTAAATATATTCTTCATTAAGTCCGGAGGTAATGAAACTGCCAAACAAACCGCTCTTAATAAGTATGTTAAGTACACTTGGCTCTTTCTTTATAATTAAAATACTATAGTGCGCCATAATGGGCTCTGCTCTGCATCTCTGCAAACCCTGCATCAACCAGGGTCTGTCCTGTTCATCACCACTGGATCGAAATTGCAAAACAACACATCCTAATCTTCATGGAACTTTTAGTGTTGTCATGAATTTCACACACATGTTTCAAACTCAACTCAAAACCATGACAAAAAAAATTTAAAAACACATTTTTAGATGATTCAATGTTAACACTGAAGACAAAATACAATATTAGTTCTGATAAAGATCAATATTCTTAAAGATCCCTTTTTGCCCTATTTATGTATTTTTGTCACTACTGATTCCTATTTAAATGAGTAACTATTAGTTTTAGTATTGATTGATACTGGGCAAAACTTTGGCAAAACCACTTACTATACCGGCATCACCGTTTTATAAAACAGAAGACAGGAGATGTTTATGAAGTCATATTAGATGAATATTGGTTTTCCTATGTCCATATCATAATATAATGATATAATATAGATATAGATATATTATAGATAATTAATAATAAATATATAGCAGGCACAAGCACAATATATCTTATTTAAGTAAGAAAAGATTGCACTGTTTGGATATTGAGGTTTCTTTCCAAACATTTTTCTGTCCTGGCCTATCTAAAGTTTTTGGACAGAGTTCTCATCTGGGTACACTGTATACAGGGAGATCCAATATTCATGCTGGTGCTTCAGCTGTGGCAGAACAAGCTGCTGGCACTATACGGGGAGGCAGTATGCTAGTTTGCCGATAGCTGTAGAAGTAGTGCCAATAGTAGTGGCAGTAGTTGTAATGAGGTTGTTAAGTTTGTATGCTTTACAGAGCTGTTTACATAGTGGAAAGTAATATTTTTGTAAAGCACATTTATTTGTAAATGAGTGGTACTGCATGGGAATAACTGAGTATTACTGTTTGGGACTGCTATCAAATACATTGTACTGTTATTTAAATTCTTTCATTCAGCATTTCACAATTTCTTTTTGTAAGTGCAATGTACATTTCTATATCCTTGAGAATCCCAAAGCAACTTCACTGCGTTTATATCTCCAAAAACAGTGAAAAAGCTGAGGGGGCACTTTTACTCATGTAAATTTAAAACAGCAGCAGCAGGAGGGGCCGGGGAGAGGCAGGGGGCTGTAGCTTGGGGCTGCAGCTCTGCACCTGAAGGAGAAACTTACCTGATCTGGTTCTATTGAGGACACAGCATGGCATTGTGGGTAATGGAGGGGACATATGTTACAGAGCAACAGAGCTGCAGAGGCTGTGGCCCATTTTTCAACTCAAGTTTTATTCTCGGAGCTTGAAATAGGAAAAGTACTTAAATTTTGTGCCTCAATGATATTATGTACATTTTCTGGTGGAGGGTCTGTGATCTGGCCTTAAAATGTTATTGCTTTGCCTTTTTATTGTCTGAGTTTGATTCCTTGGTCTGGTAAGGTTTTTATCTGTGGAATTTGCATGTTCTCTCTGTTTTTTTCTGGGTAATTTAGTCCTGCCCCCCAAGCATGCACATTTAAACTAAACCTCCACCTTTATCCTCCTAACATAGCTCATAGATTTGGAGTTGGGTCCCTAGGTGCTGCCCTGCGGTCATCTACTGCTCCAGTTTGTCCAAGTGGCTTTGAAGGATGGGTAAAGTGTAGTGGCTTGTTTTCTATGTTTACAATGAAGTGCACAAATATCTAAAAATATTCACAGCGGGTTAAGTGTTTTGCTCAAGGACACTACAGCATTACACAGTGGGGATTAAACTGCATACCTGGGTCATCTCTCCAAACTCCAGCCCCTTGGTATTTTCATGAGTTTAAATGCTGTGTTGTCAGAGAAGTGTAGTGGGAGGTTTGGATTAAAAGTTGTATCAAGGAGAGACAAGGACAGAGGCTGGATATGAGTCAGATCTACGTCACACAAAGCCGCAAATCTCTGACAAAGTAAATATGACTGATTCATTGTTCTGTCTGAGAGTTGTACGTTTGAGTTCACTTAGTGGAACTTTAAAGAACACAGTTTTTCTCAAGGCCACTCTCATTTTGTTTGAATTATTTTCAGTCTGCAAATACTGTGGGGAGATTAGAATATGTCAGACACCAGACATGAAACTGCATTATACATTATATGGACAAATTGCATGTTCAGACAGTGCTCTAGTCTAGGACATCATGAATAAAAAAAATGAGACGGATTAGACTCTTGAACTTGGTTACTTTTTCAGGAGCTACATTACTTTTTAGGGAAAAAATAGTTTAAAATACAAGATTTTTTTTTCATTTTGGATGTTTGTTTGTTTTTTGCATGGAAAAACATGCGCCCTTCCATCTTGAAAATCCTGAGTGACTTAGCCTTCAGAAAGTTATGTGGTGTTGCTTTAACTCACCACATACTTCTCCTTACTTTATTTTTTGGTTAACATAAATATAAGTTTTTTAGTTATATACTACAGTTGAATTTCAATCATAATATGAGTTACAACTGTATATTCAAGGGAGTGTGTTTTTTATTTTATTTTGCTTATGAAGTTGTATTGGGTCCTTCACAATATGCTAATTAATGTATTCAGATGATTAGCATTTTCAAAAGTAGATGATAATGTGTGATTTGCATAAGTGTCCACAGGGGTCAGCGCAGAGGGCAGTTTGGCTGTAGAGAAGGGGAATGTTTGAAGGCTTTTTACTAACCTCCATATTATAGAGAGCCAGATTTAGCCCAGGCCAACACACATCCACCACATGCTCATCAGTATTCTGCTCATGTGGGACTAAATTATACCATGCAAATCACTAACACTATTAACTTGTGTTTAATTTTAAAAAGATTAAACAATAACATTTAAACCTTTTATTAATCCCATTTCCATTTTTTTTTGTCTCAATATTTAACATTTTTGTTGGTGTACGTCATACCATGGCCATAGTGCTTTTAATCAATGATGCAGTTCAATGTCAGTCTATAGAATTGTATAGAATAGTGGCAAAGTGTAGCGCAGCTCTGTGGAGTCTGAGCCACATGTGGTGAAGAGCAGAGTGAGTCTATAAACAGCTTCATCAGGGGAAGAGAGCAGAATCGATCATCTCTACAGAAAACTCTGATTGAAAACAGATGGAAATACTTTTATTATATGTGACACTTTAAGTTTAAATTGATCATTTTCCCAGCTGTTTTTCTGTTGTTGGTCTTTACCCCGAGTTCAGGCCAACACAGTAAGAGTTTGTTTTTCATGCCTGACAGTTTCGACTTCTCACTAGCGCTCTTCGTCAGAGTGGTTCTGTGACATGTACTGTCAGCTGATTTAAACAGGTTTTGGCGCTGTCTTCCTACCGGTGAAGGCAGGATGACAGCGCCATCTGCAGTCCGACTTCCTCAGGACAGTATCCCAGGTGTGTGAGAGTAAAAAAGCCACCTTATCCTGGTTTATAGTCCCGTGGGCATGTTTCTATATTTCGATTGCCTCTTTAATCCAGCGACGGTGTTTGTTTTCCTCTGTCCCAATGATGTTTGCTCCATCCCAGTCCATAATGTGGTTCTTTCTTTTACAGTGGTCAGAAACGGACGATTTGAGTTGTTCCTGTTCTGCTTTGTCTTTTGTTGCTCGTGTGTACGCCTTCCTGTTTCCTTTTTTCGTGTACCACTCTGAGGAAGACTGCTGTGAGCAGTCGAAACTGTCAGGTATGAAAAACAAACTCTTGGTCTGAAAAAAGAACCTAATAACATAAAATATCTGAAAACCAAATGAACCTCGTTGGATCAACATGGAGGTCACAAGGCGTTATATGATTCTGAATGTGTTTGGATGTTTTACGCTGAGAACTGTGTAAGTAATAATGTAAAGCAAATGTGTCAGTGAGCTAACCTTTCCACAGAGGACCTGTAACTTGGTTGACGGGTGTCCCCTGCTTGTGGAGATTATTTATTTAACTGCCATGTGGAACATTTTACTCAATGCAATAACATCTGCATGAAGACAAGCAGGTGATAGACCCGACATAAATTATTTGTATTTTTCCACCTTCCACAGTGTGTTGGGGAGTGCACGTTGTGTCTTTTCATGTCCATACAAGGGCTTCAATTAAAGCCAAGGCCGTGACCTGCTCTTAGATGTTATGCTTCTCGCTGCGAGTATGACCTGATTGGCTGAATCAGAGCTACACTGCTGCACATGTGTGAATGCATGTCACCATATAGGTCATGTGGGTCACTTCACACCTCCAGGCGGTAAAACATGTTAGCACTCGATATGTAATAGCAACTAGCAACTCCCATACTTTGTTTTTATCAAGCAGAAAACTAAAAGATTTAAAGAAATAATAAAATTGTTGAAAATCACAATAGTTGTGTGTAAATTGAAAATTTTGAATATGAGTGAGAGAAATAATGAGGAGAGCTGTTATTGTGTGGGACTTACACAGTATTTCATGTAATGAAGTAAAAAAAAGTTTTGCTCCAGTATAGATATATTGTAAAAAAGGTTCATAGGGTCAAAATATTTGTGTTTGTTTGCTGTGTGGATCTAATTATAAAACTGTTTGTAAATGTGAGTGTTATGCCAACACTGATGCAAGGAATTAGGTATGTAACAATATCCAAGTCTCACAATAATATTGCGACATCGTGGGAAAGCTTATGATATGGTGGGGAGGCTCACGATGCAACAGTATCCAAATCTCTCAGTACGATATTTTCATGATATACTCTTAAGTATACATCTCAAGGTACGATATTTATTGTGATATTTCTTGGAGGTTAACAAAACTGTTAATATGCAACTTTTTCCGAAATGGAGCAAAGGATCATGGTCTATGTAGCTCCCTCTGCCTTAATTTAAGCAAAAAGACTTGTAATTCGATATATTGTGATGGTCCACGATATTATTTTGAGAACTTTGATTGTTATTTGATGTTATTGTTACATCCCTAATAGGAATGCAAGAGGAAAGGGGGGAATAAGTTTGGATGAATGCAAACTGTTTAAAATGAACTAGTAGAGTTTTTCACATTTGTAACACAGGAACAGCAACTTTAAATGGTTTATCCATGTGTCTCATGGACTAGATGGTAGCCCACTTGTATGTATCTAAAACATTTTGTCATATCACCCATCCCTAATCAAAATGAATAATTTTAAATTAACAAGAAAACATTTGGTTGATTCAAACAGAACACGTTACGTAAGAGGTGACATAAACCCATTTTATTTTCCTCTTGCTGCCTGATTCTTCTAATGTGCTTTTTCATAGTGGTTGTATTTTGCTCATTTTGGACACTCGGGTTACACGAGCAGAGGAGCGGTGCTCAGTAAGTGCCAGAGGTTTGAAAGTGCTCTGGCGTGTGTCACTTCATGAACAACATGTTGAGCACAATGTGGAGAGTTTTGGTTCTTTTATGTCATGGTCAAAATTATGGGGGAATTATCCATTGCATAACCACTCCTAGGACACCTCCACCTCTGCCCTTGTGTGTAAGATATAATACACCCTACAAGGTGAGCACGGTCAGCCTGGATTTGTCACTACACCACAATCTAATGCATGTTCATTTCTCATTTTTTCCTGTAATGGTAAACAAACCTCTCCTTTGTCTTCAATTATTTCGAAATTTACTAATAATATTATGAAAGGAATCTCCATTAGAGATATACCAATATTATGTTCTTTGTGGATATATCGCCTTTTAGATCTGCCTTAAATCTCCAGCAGAGGTCAATGTTTTGTTTTGGCTGACCAGCTGCCTAAAGAATATACATAAAATGTTACAGGAACACTTCAGTACGAAAACTGTGGTTAAAAAAGGGCTGTGGGTGTGTTTTTACTAAATTAAAATGACATAATTTGGGGAAAATAATCAAAATCTTTAATATAAAATATTTATTGCAGATGATTTGATGTGAATGAGTGTACATAAAGCTGGGGTACCTGACTTTTTTTTGTAAATTTTCTCCCAAAGAGAATATTGTAAAAGGAACACTTTATGACAGAATAACTGGGTAATTTTAGGTCATTTTATTTCTCGTCAACCTGCAAATAAGTGCCAAAATCAGTGCTCGTTTTGACTGTGTTTGAACAGCCCTCAGTTTTACTTTACTTTGAAAAAACATGTGGATATTAACATGACAGCTACAGTTAGAGACGACTTAGAGAGATTGAATTGTTGCCAAGCTGTGCATATTGCATTATGTTGTTTACAAATATATGTCTTACTTTCTCTCTCTCAGGAGTACCAGATCGATATAATCTTTGCTCAGACGTGGACAGACAGCAGACTGAGTTACAACAGCACCATGAAGATTCTGACCCTCAACAGTAACATGGTGGGGCTCATCTGGCTCCCTGACACCATCTTCAGGAACTCCAAGAGTGCAGACTCACACTGGATCACCATGCCCAACCAGCTGCTGCGCATCTGGAATGACGGCAAGATCCTCTACACGCTCCGGTAATGTCCGCTACTAGAGTTATACTGGTTGTCCCTACTTAAACACACACACAGATTTTAAAGGTGCATTGTGTAACTTTTCTGGTGGAGGGTCCATAACCTGCTTGTTTCCATAGATAGATGTCTGGAATGTTCCACATTATGACATTTAACAGCTCTACTTTACATTTATGCAATTACAGCTCAAAAATACTTGGAAAAACAGGCATTCTGTGAGCAGTGTTGCCTCTCCGCAGATCTGAATAGTAACTTTGCCTGGTTCAGGGCCTGTTTACATGAAAACGCTTGCCACTAAAAATTACAAAATATTTTATCAGAAGTGCCTTTCGTTCAGAGGGTGACAGTGCTTTTGGGGCTTAAAAAATGCAAAAATCTGAAATCACCCTCCAGAGTGGAAAAGTTGAACACACTCCGTCGTATCATTTCTGTCCACACTGCCCTACACACAAAACTCTGATCAGATCTGCTCACGTCTCGTATGTGTTTATGTCACATACATACATTACAGAAACAAACATGTCAAATCATTTCTATGTGTTGGACCTTCAAACTGCTCTGGCAGCTCTAATAAACTTACAGGAGGCATCCCAACAAATGTACAGAATATGCAGAGATACTATTAGTGAACAGAGAAGGATCTGCAGTTACCTCTGTCAAATTCTGGATGCACCAGTTCATCGCAGGCGAGCCAGACGGCTTTGGACAAGACCTGGGAGAACCAGTTGATGGTGGGACAACTTTGTGGAAGGAGTAGCTGATGACAATGAGTGGCGTGAAAACTTCCGTATGTCCATAGATGCCCTTGTTGCTTAAAGTACAAGCATACCCAATCAAATTCCACACATTTTTGCGTCACCGTATGCACACAGATTCCTCCCAAAAACGCTCATCTAAATTCGGAGTAAAAAGTGAAGACACAACAAAACTTTTGCATCTTCTGTTCAGACGGTCATCATATAAACATAGCCTTAGTCTCCATGAAGATTGAAAGGTTTATTGGCATATTGTGACATATTTCAGACAAACATAACAACATCTCCATGGATAAAAGTTACACAATTCACCTTAGAAAAGTGCCTAAGTCTAATTCTGTGATTTTTCTAGGAGTTCAAACTGTATGCAAGAACAATTTTCTATAGTCTAACATCAGTTTAAGAGTGAGCTAAAATGTACAAAAAATTATACAAAAGTATACATTTCAAACTCAATTCCTGTAAGCAACAGCAAACTTTTTAAAAACATAGCCCTGAATCTTTAAAATCTGTTCCATTATATATTCTCACCTTAGTCCCGCTCACTGTGTCTGAACTTGCTTTTGGCTTTCAGTCTAGTTCCCAAGGCGTACTCAAAGAGCTTGTTGAAAGTAAAGTTTGTTGTGTTGCTAAACCCTGATTCAAGGAAAATTATTTAATCTTCAGCAAAATGTACTTTAAGGATTTCAGATTATACCGTTAAGGCCAATGGTGGCTAACCTGGGGGGAAAGTGTTTTGAAACAACAAGCAAATACTCCATCGAAACAATTTGTCATTTTTGTATGTAAAATTCTGTGATTCACCAAGAACTTACCCTGCAATTTAAATTTTTACAGACTGAACTAGCAATATCTATGCTTTAATCTGGGTGCTCTATCTTTTAATATTGCAAGGGAGAAGCTGGGTCTAGGCAGAGGTTAATTTGTCATTTTATTACTCGTTACTTTTCAACTTTTTTTTTCTGAATGCCTCACAGATACATTGTTTTTGCCCATAACATTTTTTAAGAACTCGTGTATGACTTTATAGCCATTGTAAATGACTCTTGGCTGATAATTAAGTTTTTCCAGAGTAAATATTTGCCTCATGTGACTCGTTGAAAAGAATAGCCTTTGTTGCATCAGCCCGGAGCCGCCTAAACCCTGAGTATGGTGCAAAAACAGTTTGATTTTCCAAAAGAGCAAGCAATTACCCACTGTCATTAGGCGTGTATGTGCAAATTGCCGCTCAACTTCAGACCCTCTTGGCCCACGGCACTCTGAGTAATTATGGCTTTTGACATTAATACAGCCTGCCTCCAAGCACCTCAATCTTTACTCACTTTTTTACCATAGTCCATAACTTGCGCACATTTAAATTGTTTTTAGAGGTCGTTCAAAGATGGTCCCATAAAAACGTACCCCCCCCATTAAAAACTCTTCTTAAAATGTTTTTATATTTAAGTATACAATGTAATTTAATATATAATTTATTATACTATATAATTGTAGGTCTTTTAGCATGTACCTAGTCCTAAAGCCTTCCTGTAATTACCCAATCAGGGGAATTAAATTGAGTGTACAAAATATAAAACGTTTTAAGAAATGTCGTACTAAAATATAATTTAAGTTGAACATTCAGCTATAGGATAGATAGTAGTGAATGTTTTTGAATGCCTCTCCTCACTCTTCACCCCCTTTCATGCCCAGTCCTTTCACCTGGACTTCTTTTCTCCAGGTTACTACTTCTGTATGTGAATTTGGCCTGTGCCCAGCTGCTGACACCCTGTACACTGGTGTGAATAAGATTATGCAGCCCATCTGTTGTTGACCTTCATTTACACACTGTTAAAGACGCTCTGAGCTCGTCCCTTATCTCCTCCGACCTTACAAAAATTATAATGAAGTGTGGAGAGCTGTTACCCACAATGCATTTCCACATGCTTGAGATAGAAAGGGAAGTTAGCTTGTGAGAGTGCTCATTATAACAAACAAATTGGACAATAGCCTGTGCAGAAGAGGCCCCACTATCTGAAAATGTCACCAGTGTTTACAACAGACAAACCATTACACCTTAATATGTCACTGTCTTTTTCTGCGGACATCAAAGGAAATGAATGCAGTTACCATAAGCTGTCCTGTCAATGGCATTTAGTGTGCTGCTGCTATATCTAGTTCTTTTGAAGTATAGTTTAAGAAAGTTATTGAATTTACTGAAACTGCCTTTAAAACAAGTGGCACTGTTGGTGTCAACATTAAAAATATTCTCCCACCATTTGGCAACCACAGTTACACTATATAGTGTCTGACCGCATTGGATACCAACTGGCATCTGATATCCAGTGTTTCTTATTTGTTACAAATTAAATTAAATTTGTATAGTATGGTAAACATGTGATGTTCTTCTGCTGTGAGATCAATGTCTGGCTTTCAATCAATCAATATTATTTTTATGAATAATAATAAAAATTCTATCACCTGCTCGAAGTCAAAGTACCATTTAACTCATCACAGAATGTGTCTGATACTTTTATTGATGTTGTATTTAATTGACCACAATTAGCTTTCAGCTGTTCTTCCTGGAGATCTATGTTGCATGTTTTTTGGGTTTGTCTGACAAGATGTCTTGTGTCTCACTTTATATTAAGCCTCTTTTACATTTTATAATTTGACTTTAAACTTATTTGATTTTTATTTTAACCAAAAATATTTTATAAATAGATACATGTAATTCTGATTAATATCACAGTTAAGGATAGTTTTGTCACAATACTAAAATTTACTTTACTAAAACTTGATTTGGATACTACAGACAAGTCTCAATCCTCAATACACATTTCTATTTTGGATGGAAAAACATAAGCCATAAGTGGTGGTATACTTTAGGTGGTGGCTAAAGTGATGCCCTGTTTTAGGGGACTGAAGTGGACCCTGGAGAGCTCCTAGAGTGGGCCAGGTGGTAGAGTATGGCGCCGATGATTGGGTAATAAAAGACAATGGAGATTTGAACAAAAACAAGACAACAAAAATCAGATATAAACAGAAGTTGATAATTATTGACCAAATGCTGACTTGAACTTGTGATAAACCACTGTATTCCCAGTGGTGGCCACTAATTGATGAATCAGTATGTGTAAGTTAGTGCAGATGCACAAATGTAAAGCATATTGATCCAGCAATTATTTGCCACCACTGGAAATATGACGGTTTATCAAAGTGTCAGAATTACTAAACATTTTTTGGTGAATTGAAGAGATCGGTTCTATAATTACAAATATAATTCAGGTACAATTTAGATTTGCCCCCGGACCTGGAGCCTTACTCGGGGCATGGAAACAGAACTCGGCTGGCATGAGCCACCCCAAACAGAACCGGTCCAAGGAGGCCACAAGGCATTCGTGCCAATGGAAAAGAGGCTATATTTTCTTTAATATTAAAATGTGGTCTTACTCTAGTCATGATACAGATTAAACTCATTCTAAAACTGTTTATTAAAGGTCCAGTTTTGACAGACTTAGTAAGTAATTTCTTTCTGTATTGATACCTCCTGAATTTAATAACCAGTTTGAAAAAGGATGAAATGAAACACCTAGTTTCTTTCTGTTTTGTTTTGGTGTGATAGTGACACTGAGTTCATTGCAAACAGCCTTGAGGAGAAATCCACTGCAATTAATGAACACGCAACAGAAGTATTGAGCTCTTTTGACCTTAGAGCAGACTGCACTGATGTCTTTGTCTGCACGTCCTGAGGAAAGACTCAAAACAACTATGTGACAGTTATGATCTAAAAGAGCTGCACATCTGACAGCACATAATTAAACATTGCAAATTACATGTTCTGAATTGGTGAATTTCAGAGTATTTATTTAGATGGTATAATGTCCTCTCCAGTGAACAAAATCTCTCCTGGCACCTTTCTGTGCACAGTTTGCATGTTTCTCCCTGTGTGTGGGTGGGCACTCCCAGCACATTAACCCAAAACATTCAAAATAGGTAAAATTTTCCAGCTAAGGTTGTTCTGACCAAGCTTAAATCAACATCTGGAAATGGATCCAGCAGAAAGAATACCTTACAGTAACTTAGAATAAGAGTTCAGAAATGCAGGTAATTCTTTTATCATTTTGTATTTCAACCCAAAACTCCATTTAACGCACTGCTAAATGTGGACACATTATATTGTTTACAGACTTGCCTACAATACAATACAATTTATGGTCTGGTCCTCTTAGAGTTGGTTATTGAAGAGCCTTATGTTTCTGCTATGAACCTCCTACTTATTGCCTTTTCCCTATTGATTACATGTGTTGTTCTTTGTGCAGACTCACCATAAACGCAGAATGCCAGCTTCAGCTTCATAACTTCCCCATGGACGAGCACTCCTGTCCTCTCATCTTCTCCAGCTGTAAGTGTCCTCCACCTGCCACTGCACCTGCCACAAACTCACTGAGAGCCATCTAAGAACCTAATCCGAACAGGACAATGTGCTTTATTTGATCCAACACCATTGCACGGTAGATATAACTCTGACGTTTTGAGGCTCAAAAATAAACAAAAATTTTAACAAGATCCAGATATGTCTTTTGTTAGTATAGGGAAAAAATAAGGACATATTATAGTCCAGTTTGGCGATTGCCTAGAGCCTCATTCTGCACTGTAAACAGTACATGATGGCTTTATAATGTGCATTTGATGAATTATTGTTGACCTTCTACTCCTATAGGAAATGATGAGCAGAGCCTATATGCCATAAGTGGATATGAATAAGGGTCACTTGTGCAGGTGGAGCCATCTTATGAAAAGTACCTCTGATTTAATATGAACTCCATGCTCACACACACACACACACATAACCTGCTGTGATCCATTAAAGCCCATTTCCTGAACACGTCACATGACCACTACTGGTTTCCATGACGATGTGTTCAAATTTGTTGTATTTGCGTATCTTCAGAGCACAGAGGGAGGGACTGGAGGGAACACTACATCTCTATCATCAAATCGAAGCTTTAATTATCAGTAGCAGCAACAGTGCACAAGGATAAACCTATTTATTCTGATTTATTCTGCACCATGGATCTCCTAATATGGACTAATACAAGCAGTTAAATGTTCATGTGTTTAAGTGTGCAGGGTAATTTGTGTGTCCACTTAGGAACTGAAATGCTACTATACTAAGTAGTGACATTTGCGTCACTCACTTAAATATACATAGAGACAGAGCTATGCTAAATGTCATATGCATTAGTTATGATTTTGTATTTTTGGAGCTCATTAAGTCACATTTTATTTTCTGTCTCCAAGGAGCAAATATAAGTCTCACTAATTTTGAGATTAACTAACTAAAGTTGCATAGTGTGTCGACATTTGAATTCCATGTTTGTCAATATTACAGGCAAATTATAGTTGGCGATTCATTTGGTAGATGTATTCTCTATGTTAAACCTTATCACAGTTGAATTAAAAGAGCCTTTCCAAAAAGCATAGTGATAAGAGAACTTATAATACATTATGTAATTAATTGATTTCTCTTTATACATTGTTGTTGGGCACTCCAGTTAAATTTTATTTCTCTCCAGCAACTAGGTCAGGAATCGGAATTCACTTGACAGTTTGCAAGAACCCCAGAAGTGCGAGTCCGGACACCAGCCAATCAGTGAAGAGCCATACATTCTGTGTTGACAATTCCCGAGATTGAGGATTTAAAGATGGAACAAAGAGAATGTTTGGTGAATTTTATCAAGGGGAAAGATGTTTTGCCCTTCTTCCTACCAGATTTGGGAAAAGCTTAATATACCAGTTAGCCCCGTGTACGTCATGACCAAATAGCAGCGATTGGTTAAATTAAAAAAGTATCCGCCCACCGTTGAGTGAATGAATTCTAGCGCTACAAGGTACCAGCTGATGAATCAGGTTACCGGTTTCCTAGATCAACCCAAACCATGCGCAAAAGGTAAAATCATCCAGCGAAGGTACTCCTGACCAAACGTAGCTCAACAAATGGAGTGCCCACTGCTTGAAGGATGGGTCAAATGCAGAGGACACAATAAAAATTAAATAAAATTTACCTTACCACTGTTTCATAGGCTATATATTTTTCTGTATAACACTATAAATGAACATTATATCCCATTATGATTCTGAATTAAAGAAAACTGTCACTTTACCTCTCATGATCTCTCTCTTCTCAGAATGAAACAAAATCCACAGTTATAAAAATACATTTGACTGACAGCTGGAATGGCCTTTCTGTGAGACCTGTACTTTCGCTTTACAGCTTTCATGTACAATAACCTACCTAGACCATTAGCGTTACAGCAGAACATACCGAAAACCAACTGGAAAAATGTTTATATTTCTTTTGGTTAAATTACATAAGGCTATTTTATGGGGCTAGAGCAAAAATGAAAGCTTATTTAATGCTAATCAAATGCATAATACAGTGTAGCTGTTAAAGTATTCCTCATATTGATACATTGAGATTGCAGTTAGTACATAGTAAGTACCAACCGATCAAAATTTGCATTTTCAAATCCACTAAAAGACCAGGACAAAACCAGCCTAGCCAGACTACATGTAATTAGTCTGTTTTAAAAGAAGATAGCCTGGCATAGTTAAGGGTGTTACCAGCACTTCAGTTCAGATCTTCTCAGTTAATGCTTTTATTAATTGTAAGCCTCTTGGATAGGGTGACTAGTAGACTTTCAAAATCAGAAACTGCGACAGCCCCGGATTGGTCGTGGTTGGTAATAATAAAATTGTGAAATGAGTGCATAATTAAAGAAAATTGTTCTGCACTTGGCCCATCCATGATAACATGTGAGTCAGTTTAGTCATATTTTCTTTATGTTTTGTGTAATTTTACCTAAACAAAAATTTTAAATAAGAAAAGCTAGACAATTAAGGCCTCTCTTTACTGTTGGCAGGTATCAAATTGGTCAAAAAGAATGACACCAGGGACATTTCTTATATACAACTGGAACAAATCACTGGTTTTGGATAAATCCACCGGGACAGGGGACACAGGGCTCAAAACTGTGAGTGTCCCAGGTAAATAGAGAAGTCTGGTCACCTTATTCTTGGATCAAATGACTTCAAGGCAGAATCATAACATGTTCCTACTTAAAATCATTATGGAGCTGAATGCAAGGATTCCAGATAGAGACATTGGCCAGGATGATTCTAACATTAGGTTAACCTGATTGGAGGTAGAATTACTGTAAGGCAGAGGACACCAAACTTTTCTTTAGGGGCTACATTATCGCTCCTGATTGTGATAGAGGGCCGGGGTCGGTTCGGCTGTATAACAGAATTGTATGATCCTGATTACTCAGATTATATTTTTTGAAAAGCACCACATTTTCTTTACATATCAGACAAACTGCTCGGTCCTTGCACTGAACAAAAAAAATCTTTAACACTAGTCATTTAATAAACTTTACTGCACTACAGAACTCTGCACGTGCGTTGACTGTCACTGTTTGATCTCGAGCTTGTCAGATGACAAAAACTTGGCAGCAAATACATCATAATTTTTTAAAAATATAAATATAAATACTTTATATAAATATAATTTTAAATTGAATACATCAAGAAAATATAAAATGCAGACATGTTATTATTTGCCAAAAAGTAATTTTAAAAATAGGCCATGACACTTTTGAGGATTGCCTCATAGGGCCAGTTCAAGTCGAGGGGGGCAGAGGGGCTGGGGGGCTGGTCAAAGGGGAGTGGAGGGCCTGAGTCGACCCACGGGCCTTAGTTTGATGACCCCTGCTGTAAGGATTCAGGTGAATGTCAAGTACAGTTTCAATTGTGAACATTATTGACACCTGCATTTTAATAAATGTGAGACAAACTAGCTCAATGCCATACGGTGGAACATTTCAGGAAAAGTAATAACATCTCCATGGAGACAAGCAGGTGGCTGACGTATCCTTTGAGTTACATAGTGCACTTTTAAGTGTAACGAATAATCAAAAGGCCCTAATCTTATAGCTCCTAATCAAATATGTCTCTATCATAATGTGAAAAGCACATTAACAAACATGTATTATGATTGCAGATGGCTACCCACAAGACGAGATGGTGTACAAGTGGAGGAAGAACTCAGTGCAAGCAGCTGATCAGAAGTCCTGGCGTTTGTACCAGTTTGATTTTATGGGACTCAGAAATACCACTGACATCATCAGCACAACAGCAGGTAAGGAGAGGGCTACTGAAAACACTTATGAAAATGAAAAAATGACATTAAAAGTAAGAATAATTACCATAGCTTATAACCAGTCACATCATGTAAACTATCTCTGGCTCTCAACTAATCATCATTCAAACATGGCAGCAGCAGAACCCTCCAGCCTCCTCAGACTCTCCATCTTCTCCTCTTAACCACCACAGTGTCAGGTCGGGTGGGGTGATATATTTTTACTACAAATCTCGCACTCTCTTTTCATTGCATTACTGACCTCATGTTTGTTCTGGTGTAATTTCACTTAACTACACCGTTACTTGTGTGCGCCATACGCTGCTTGAATCTTGATCTGTAGCTTAATAACTAGAAGAAACATCATTCATACACTTGTCCTTGAAATTTAAATTTGTCCAGTTTCTATCATGAAGTGACGTTCTCCAATTTTAAAAGACAAACTAATTTCTAGTCTATATAACATCTCACTGGGACCTCTTGCATATTCAGCCAATGAGATCATATTATATTATTTTTTTGTACATTCACTTTACCCATTTCTGCATAAAAAACAAGCCACCGCACTATGTTATGTGGCTGGCATGTGAATTAGACAATGTGAAAAAAACAATAAAACATGAATAAGTAGTAAATAAAGGCCAAAGCACACATTTCAAATATTTTTAGTCATTATTTTTATTAATGCATGTAAAGGGTAATGTTTGGAGGTGCTTTAGCGCTGTTGACACCTGGGTCCACTCCATTGCTGCTCCACTACAGCCACTCTTTTTAGGCGACTGGATCGCTGTGCTCTTTCAGGTTCACGATGAAGCTTCAGAAAATGCGGCTCTTCTTGTGTTGACAAGAGTTCAGAAGTCAGCTCCTGCACCCTCCTGGACTGTTTTTCATTTTCCTTGTTGGTTTGATCTCCACCAACATCATTACAAGTGGTTTCAGTCTCCATTGTAGGTTCTTCTCATTGGCTTTCCTGGTGTTGGCCAGCTCCTGTTTGAGGTGGACAGTGTCTGCCACTGAGTTGTTATACAGGCATCTTATTTCTTTGTACGCACTAACTTGGTTTCCAACTCTTTCTCTTTTTTCAGGAGGTTAGCTTTGAGCTCTCTCAACTCCAAGTCGTTTTTTTCGCTGACTCTTTTGAAGTTGGCAAACTCTTGCCTTAGTTGCACATGTTCCTGTACTTTAGAATTATACAAGTACTGGATCTCCTTATGTGCATTCACTTAGGTCTTGTAGTTGCTTTTCCTTCTTCTGTCTTTGTCCTTGTTGACATTTCTTCAGGAAAACATTATCTGTAATCTGCACAGCCATGGCCATGGATGTATGGGTATGTTACACTGCACAGTAGAAGCAGAGGTGAATTGCCAATATCTTACAATGTGTTGAGTGTTCTTGCCTCTTGTAGTAGACGTCTAGAATCCCCTGTCTCTTTTTACTCTAAGACTACCTTAATATTATTTCCACAACATATGAGATCAGTATTTCCTGAGGGGGTATGTAATCTATGTGAAAGGACTGTGAACCTGTTTGGTTATTGTGCTTCAAAGGTGTATTCTTTGTGTTCCAGGCGACTACGTGGTGATGACAGTGTACTTCGACTTGAGCAGAAGGATGGGTTACTTCACCATTCAGACGTACATCCCATGTATCCTCACAGTAGTGCTGTCCTGGGTCTCCTTCTGGATAAAGAAGGACGCTACTCCAGCACGAACTGCTTTAGGTAAAGACCTACCATGTAAACACAGTTGTTGGGTAGTACTGATGGCAACGTTAGAGCTTATTTCAAAATGTACTTTATTATGAACTTTATTTTTGTCAAAATGTATGACTTTTTAATGTTGTGTTCTCATCCAAAATACTTCACACCTTCACTGTTTTGTTCGCTGCAATTGTTTATGTTTGTTTATTTATTAATTATAGGACAGTGCACATTAATTAATCAATTTGTGTTAGTACAGCATATAAATGTGTCAGAGTTTGCCGTGCAGGCTAATTTTCATCCATAGTCCCATTGGCAGGTAGCGTGATTCATCAGCCAGTTTCACTTTGTGGAAACCGTCTGAACTCGCAGTATTAGGATTCGTTCACTCGACGGAAGGCATTTAAGTTTTTTTATTTAAGCAGTCGCTGCTATTTGTTCGTGACGTATGTAATGCACTGCTAACGGGACTAACTGTTCTAAGCTTTCCCCTTGATAAAATTCACCAAACATTCTCTTTGTTCCGGCTTTAAATCCTCAATCTTGGGAGTCATTGCCAACACAGAATGTGTAGCTCTTCGTTGATTGGCTGGTGCCCCAACTCGTACTTCCAGGGTTTTTGCAAACCGTCCTGACCTAGTTGCTGGAGAGAAATTAAATTGAGTGGAAGCACTAGGTGGTGCCAGCTTGGCTAATTGGCAGGTTAATGCCAAGACAAAAAACAGGGCATAGTAACATTCAGACCATCACACATGGCAAAAGATCTTAAGATCAGTGAATATTAACTGCAGACATATTAGTAAAATTAGACCATGCTAAAAGCACACACAGCAGATTAAAGACAATAGACACAAATCACAATCACACAACAAGACATTTGTTATGTGATGTTAAAACACAGATCCCTCTTATAAACTAGGTAAACAATGAAAAAACAAAGTCCATTGAACCAAATTATTAAAGTAATAAAAGCACTCGGTACATTTCAACCAATTTCCTTTCATTGCTCTATCCTTCTACATTTGCTTGATTAGTTGTTTTTTTTTTGTTTTGGTCTCATATTGTTTTTTGGTTCTTCTTTGTGTTGGCAGTTTTGTGGAACAATTCAAAGCAGGTAATTGTTTACACACACAGAAATATCAAGTGAACAGGCCCCAAACAGAAAAGACTGAACCAATGTAATTTCAGTGTGACAGAAAATCCACTTGGGCTGACATTTTGCTGACACCATTTAAAGAACTGACCATGTACAGTCCAGTGTTGAAGGAAGTCACGTTTACATTGATTGTGTTCTATCTCTAATGGAAATGCTTGTTGTGTTGTGGCCTCTCCCTTGTGGTGACCTGTGTCTTCAAAGCAGTTTCCCAGACACTTCTGTGAAAATACACTGTAATATGACATTTTAAAGATGCCATCCATTTCCCCCACAATTCCCCCAGGCTCGTGGTACATAAGAGACTGCTACAGAAACATGCTGGCTGTGAGGATTTTGATGAAGGGAGCAACTTCTGACCCGAGGGAGCAGGATCAAATCTTGTCTGACACACATGGCTTGATATTGCATATTCAATTCCAATAAGTCTTACTAAGAGCTGTTTGTACGCAATCTTTGTAAGTTAAAAGTGCAGTGTGTAACTGAAGGGTTCGTCTCAGTATAATATTAAACCTTTCTATCATCATAGAGACCAAACCGGACCAAGTTACAGGCCAGATCTGTGGAGAGGCAACCACACTCATAGTTAGAATGCTTGTTTTTCCAGGTATTTTTGATAGTTTTTTTATATTTTTGATTGCACATGTATAATTTAACACCTGCCTGTGTCCTAAAATATGATGTAAACATGTTCAATTCAAAAGTATTAATAGAATAGAATATAAGACAAGACAAGATAAGATAAGAAAAAAGATAATACGGTGTAATAGTTGTCTTTGTTACCATTTTGTTTTGGTTATCCAATCAAGCTCTGAGCCTCTTACTTTAGCTTGCCAGACTAAAACTACTTTTCACGGAACCAACTTGGGCGCTCTGTATGACAGCTAATGGCATGCCAGGCTCATTTGTGACCAACAGGATCTTGATAATATTGCTCAGATGACGTCTATTTATGTTCTTTCAGGTCTTTTCAGGTCTTTTCACATAATGTATCTTTGGCTCAGCTCAGATAAAGGTGGTCTAGTCGGACGTATAATGAAATGGGTTTTTGACTGTTCATACTTACGTGAATGTGAGAATGGAACCAGGGAACAATGATGACATGTACTGATTTTGTGTCACCGGGCAAGACACTTCCCCCATTCTGCTTTTATGAATGGTGATAACTGACTGTGACTGTGATGGCAGTAGCTCAGTTGGTAAAGTCTTTGTCCACTCATCCGAAGGTTGGCGGTTCGAATCTTGCTCTCAACTTAAACTTCATTGGTTGTTCGGTCAAATCCACTGACCCACAGGTTGGCTGGTGTCATTCCAGCTCCCACAGATGAATGCTGTTGTTGGGTTTTTGGGCAAGACACTTAAAACACTCACCGCCAGTGTCTGCATACACTGGTGTATGAATATGTGTGTGAATGGGTGCGTAATTCCTCGTTGTAAAGTGCTTTGAGTGCCTTGAAGGTGGAAAAGTGTTGTGTAAAAATGTGACCATTTACCATTGAACACATAGCCTATTATTATATAGCTCCTGTTCATTTCCCATGCAGGCCGATGGTGAGAAGATCTGTGAATCTGTGAGTTGATTGATTGTTTTCTATTAGGGAATATTTGGGTGAGATAGTATTTAAATGGGATTGGTTTTAAATATTTTTCAAAGACTGTGTTCTGATTTGTTCTAAATTGCACTATATTTTTCCTTTAACTGTGACAGACTAGATACATCACCTCAGAGCATGTTCAGATGGAGCTGTCAGTGAAGATAAATGCTTCCTGGTCGTCTCCTTGTTGGATTCATTGTTTAGAGGCGGAAAGAGCAGAAAATGTGTCCAATATCCCTCTCAGGGCTGCTCTGGGTAATCACTGTGGAGAAGTGGGGCTAAAGGACGTGACCCAAAATAACATGTGGCAAAGTGGGACAGCACAGTTTAGAGTCATGTGTATCTTTAGAATGGCCTGTGACTGTTTATCATGTGGTTACATGAATGTGTATGCAAATAAATGAGGATGACTTCATCTGAAGTGTACATTAGTCAGTCTGAGCAGTACAATAAACAGCATCTGCTTCTGTGTTACATTTGCAGTGGATAAAGCATGTAGCATAAGATGGACACTGTTTAAGCAGTCACAGCCTCCTTTTGTATCTATTGTATGTATGTTTTAGTTTCAAATCTTCAAAACATTTCCTCAAGAGGAAAGGAGAATTATTCAGAAGTTCAGTTCAACAGTGTTTCATTCACACAGTGACATGGCAATGTCTGTGCTGTTTCTCAGTCCTTTCTGTTATATTTTCTTTCTGGTAAGTCTAGTTTGTTTTTGACACTATTGATTTCCTGTGTTTGGTTTGGAAGCCTGTGAATCACACCATGAAATGAGGAGAAAACCAAAAAAGCAAAAAAAAAAAAAGCTGATTGCTCTCAAATGAAGCAAATTGGATTGTCAAGATATTTTCCTTTTTTTTATCTCACTGCTTGCATTCAGCAATGGAGCTTATCATAATAATATACTGTATATAGTGAAATAATCTGTGATGTTACAGTGCATGTATCAATGCAGAACAGTGCATTTAGGTGACAGATGGAAAAACAGATGGAAAACATCATAAAACAAAAGCTACAGTCTTAATGTCCCTAAAAAGTCTTATTGCATTGTCTGTTCACGGCTTTTCCCTGTGACCTTTATGAAGCTCAACCTCAGCATTATGTACAGTGCTCATCTGACCTTTTCATTCACACAGCCTTCTCTGTCATTATTTCCTGTACTGTGTGTGTACATTGCTCTCCACTTACTGTGTTCTCCAGTTTTATTTGATACTTGTACAATTCGGCAGCATCGATATGTGATATGGCAGTTATAATGAATACAGTCATGCCTTTATGTTTTGTCACAGCATATGTTTTTTGCTGGCCAGGTAATAATTTTATGGTGTGGTATGGATCTTGTTACTGGAAAATGTATATAAATAAAGAAATAACTGATTAGTAATTAAGAAAACACAGAAGAAAAGAAATAAGGGCATCTCTCAAGAAAGTACCACTGTCCTCCATCAGTAATCCTGCCTCTATGTGTCCTACAGGTATCACCACAGTGCTGACCATGACCACTCTGAGCACAGTGGCTCGGACCTCTTTGCCGCGTGTCTCTTATGTCACGGCTATGGACCTGTTTGTGACCGTCTGCTTCCTCTTTGTGTTTGCTGCAATGATGGAGTACGCCACGCTCAACTTCTACTCTTACAGCATCCGCAGGCCCAGCTGTATGCACAATAAGAGGGTCACGGTGAGGCTTATGTGGATGAGTAGAGAACTATGGGTCATTTGTCCTCCCTTGTCTCTTTCATACAAATAAGAGTAATGCATTTTAAAAGGAGCAAAAGTCCATATGTTCATGCGCAATTTCCAAATACTGTTGCTAAAATGGCTATACCAATTGTTGGCTCAACCAGGATGATGCTTCCACTGTGTTAAAAAAAAAATAAATACTGATAAAGATTTAGTGATCCAGATACTTAAAATGTAGATGATGGATTACACTACTAACATTTCAGTAAAGGATACTGGACATAGCTCTGCATTTTATCTGGCATATTTCTACACAAGCTTTCCATACTACTGTTTCAGACTGAAAATTGTCTCTGATGAACCCTCAAAACAATGCACCAAAAGTTTGTTTTGAAGTAAAAAAAAAAAAAAACCCTCCTAACTTGTATACTCAAAGACTATATCAGTGTCAAGTCTTTTGCAGCATTTGCAGCTTGTCTCATCAGGAAAACAGAAACACTATATGCATCTAAGAATAACCTGTGTCATGCTTCATAAATCAGTGGTGCTTCTACATTTGTCAAAGCCACTGACACAACCAGGACACTGATAGGGACTGAATTAGAAATGGCTTAAGTGATAACATATATACTGTTGACAAAAAAAGTTAACTCAGGTTTCATGTAATACAGCTATTTACTGGCTACATTTGACCCAGAGCATTGAACTGCAATGGCTGAATAGACATTTGTCCATTGGGCTCCAGCCTCTTCATAACAACATTTTCTGCTTGTTTTTATTGGACACTTTCACCCACTTGAAACTTATGTTCAGATTAAGGACAATTTGTCCACAAATATTCACAAAACACTGACAATCACTGTGTTTCCCATTGTATAATGGTGGGGCTGAGATTTAAGCAAATCCAAAGTAGAATTTTGGATAAAGGAAATTTTGAATATTTTATATAAGTTTTAAATTAAAAGAGACATACAATGCAAAATCTACATGATCTACATATGTGATAGTAAAAGCATAACATGGTTCTAGTGAAATTTTGATACCAAAACTATGTTAAATATGTTTATATGCATATGTGTCTTTCAGAACTACTCGATCCTGGATGTACGGCCACCTCCTTCGGTCATTGCTCTCAACAACTCCCTCTACTGGCAGGATTTTGATGACACGTGCGTGTACGACTGCCTGGATGGAAAGGACTGTAAGAGCTTCTTCTGCTGCTTTGAGGAATGCAAAAACGGAGGCTGGAGACGGGGGCGTGTGCACATAGATCTACTGGAACTAGACGCTTACTCACGCGTCTTTTTCCCAACCTCATTCCTATTATTCAACATAGTCTATTGGGTCGGATACCTCTACCTTTAGCACAACTTTACAAACACTCTTTGTACAATCTCAGTCTATTCAGGAACAACATTTTGCAAATGCACAGAGGAACTGCAAGGCAATTATATGCCAGACTGTGCAGCATAGAAACACAATGCACTTTTAGATGTGTGTTGTGAAGTCTAATATTATCCAGCCATGAGTCTACTGAAGAAAATCCAAGGACGTTCAGAGCATTCATAGTGCCTTCCAATGGAAGACATCTGATTTTTGTCAATAATCAGGGAATAACCATTTCTACACAGAGGAGTGGCTGGCTATGGCTGTTCTCACTATACCACGGTAATATAATGTAATTTCAGTATTTTACACCATTGTTTGAGCACAGTGAATGTCTGTATCTTTTTGTCAATGAAACTGTTAGATTTTACATTATAATGAATATATGTATGTTTATAAGAGATCTAGAAAGCCTTAAACTTCACCAAATGTCAAATTTGCCATACAAGCAAGTGGCCTAAGGTTATTGCTATGAGAGTTGGCCATGTAGGATTGCATGTACTCTCTGTGTGGGTTTATTAAGTTTATTTTAAATAAGCAAGCATCTTATTTCTGTATTAATTATATATAAATGAAGTACTGAAAATCTAAAGGAAAAGCCACATATATCAGTAAGTGAGTATCATACCAGATCTGCACATTAAAAATATACATTTTTCCTTGTCTGTCCCCACAGTCATGCAGAGTCTTATATAACACCCAACATGTGGTGTTACACAGCAGCTTGAATTTTACTCCCTCATAAGTGAAAAGCATTAATTATTTTCATGACATTACCCACAAACCCCATCTGTATTACTTAATGTGCAATGATTGTTCAAGTAATGGTAAGAGGTGCAGAGTGGTTAAGATGTGGTAACACATCTCCAGGATGACTCTGCCTCAGGCCCAAAGGGAAAGAGTCTAACCACCTGTGACCTTCAGTGAGAAGTGTATAGATGAAGAGGAGCTTTCTACAGGCAATAAGAATTTAAGCATTATCAATGTCACAAACCTCCATTTTAATATTGACTGTTCTATTTGTTATTGAGATTTGGCATTAGCGACCTCTTACTTGCCTTAGTTTAGATGCCCCAGTTTAAATGGTTCATGTACCTCATAACTACAGCTGACTGACTGAATACCGACTGTCAGTCGTGGCTCTATTCTGTATGTGGCCTTTGTCCTCAACATGAGTGCACACCATGGATCTTATTAGACTTGTACCATGATGCAAACCCATTACGCCACCACTGTTCAGACTGCCTCCTGCTGGCAGACAGAAGAGGTGCAATAAGGTCATCTGACTGGTGCTATGATTTAATCACTTCTTCATCTTGGGTGTAAACATCATTTCGAAATGTGTGTCCCTGACTGTTAATCTAAGGCCAATCACACAAAGTCCATGTATAGCATCCTCTGCCAATATTACATGTGCTCAGTGATATGAAAGTTTTATGTGCCTAGTTTGTTGATGGTTAGATTTTGGTGACGTTTCATTCGATGACAATTTGTCAAAAACTTAAATGCAGTTTTTTAACTGTCTTGTTTCTTTTTCTTTTCTTCTTTTTTATTTGTGTGACTGCGCAAAAAGTATGTTTGGATATACAACACCAAATAACTACACTCCTTTGAATCAATATGTAATGTCCATAATATGACTTCTTTCCAAAGTGGTGGCTCCTATTGCTTTAAATATCAAAGTTTATTGCAGATCACTCAGCACTTGGTAAATGCATGAGTAAAAGTGCATGAAGCTTTTAAGGATTTTTAAGATATAAATAAGACAGGGAGGACAAAACATGTGTTTTATTATAACCACAAAGCATTTTATTTCCTGTGTTCCCCTCTGTGTCATTCAAATGCAGAATCCTCACATTCTTGTTCTGTTTATTGAATTTGCTGTTCCAACAGAACAGCAAATGGGATATATACTATACAGTGTTATCCCCAGACAGAACAGAGGGCAATCAAGGGACACAGCTACAAACCTCTACATGATTAAAACCCTTGAATACACAATCATTATTCTAGAGTCATTTGGATTTGCTTTACTTGCTATATTTTATCTAGCCTGTCGATAGTGTTAGAAAAATATGAAACCTACAGACACAAAATCTATGTTTACAAACTATATACTAACTGAAATACTCAAAACCCAAACCCAAAAATTATTTAGCTATTTAAAGGTACATATTACTTATCTGTGAAAGAAACGATGAAATGAAATGTACCTTGATTTTCTGCTAGTGCAACCCAGTAAATTAAAATATTGAGGAAAATTCACATGTTTGTGTTTTGTAGCTTTCAGAGAGGCATTCAGGAGTCTGTCATCGTATAAAACTGACTTAAAAAAATGTATTTTTATGATGCAGAATAAGAATACTGAAGAATTGCAATTAAAACTAAAACAATTTTACAGATTATATATTATTTATTATTTTCTGTATTATAATATACAGTTAATTCTTTAAGGATGTATGTATCATATTTTTGATGTGGAAATTTCTGAGACCCCTTGCATCTCCACATCCGTTTCTGTCCATTAGTTTATGAGTCCAGTGTCAAAGGGAATAGGCTGCTGTTACTAAGCCGAAATGACACAATTCACTTTTCCCCATTATACTAATTTACTGCTGTGCACTCTTAGTTGTACATGAAGCATTATTGTGTATATTGTAAAGTGCTGTGAGGTGGTCACTGCTGGTTGGGAAGGCCTAAAAGTGCTTTATCATCCCTTTGTCATTATGTATCTGCTCAGTATTAATACAAAGTACATTGTTTTCATCTCTTATCTTCTGTAACAGAATCACTAGGAGCTGTAAAGATGTGCTGCTTTGTGGCCTCATTGTGGCATAGACTGTGTTTGATGGTGAAAAGATTCATGTGGCGTCCTGTGGCTGGGGTGGTGTCAAAAAGGCTATTTAACATTTCATTTTGATTATGTCCATGCTACTGTCACCTGTTTTTATATTTATGAAATGTAGTAGACAAATAAAGTTTTACAGAAATATGATCTGATCTGCTCTGTCTTTTTTATTTGTCTCAAGGGATTTGACAAAAAACACAGATTAATATTGTAGTACACAATAGATTACAAACCCAACTTTGACTAATATTTTGTTTGTTGAGTTGCGGTGATTGCACACTGGTTGTGGAGCAGCAAAACAAGGCGCTAATCATGACGGAACCTCCTGAGACTGCAGCAGGGCTCAGTACGTCCAGAGTTTAGCCTAAGATATAAATTCAGTTCCAAGCCAGCAAGGCTTTTGGATAATGTTGCAAACGAGACTCGCTCCAGCCAGAATTCAAGGCAGAAGTTTGAACCCCCAGCCAACATTAGGGGAGCCACCATCACTGTTCACTCGCTGCTGCTGCTGCTGCTGCTGTCGTCATGGAAACAGCTCCTTTTAGAAATAATCAAGTGTCACTTGGACTCAAAGCAGGTTTTCTGCATAAAACACTGGGACACACAAGAGTCCAGCACTGGCCACGCTTTAGCTGGAGCTCAACAAGAGCTTTGGAAATGAACTCAGCAGAATGAGAGCTGAGCAAATGTAGCCACAATATCCCTCGCTACGTAAAACTAAGAGTAGTCCATTGGTCATGTATTATATTGACATGGTCAACCTGGAGGAAACTCCAACTCAACATATGGACAATCTCCAAGATGAAAGGTCCAGGATTTAACTCGTCCGTAGCATCGCAATAATAATAATTATCCTGCTTTGGCAATTAGCTAAAAATGTTTTTTAACTCTCAATGCCATTTCACTCTGCTCAAGATATCTTGTCCAACAGAGCCATACACAGGCCAGGGACACAACAGCAGTATGTGCTCTGGTCACATTTGAACTGCCAACTGTTGAGTAGCAAAGTCTAAAGGCACTGTGCCACAACTGAAAAGAGGATGCCGTCTTGACCCTCAAATCTAACTCACTGCTCATAGAACACTTTGATAAGAAATCCCATTAGCCCAAAGCCCCAGCCTCTCTTCCTCTTTCATTTTAGACCCGTAAACAAAAGTCCACTGGCATCCTTTATTAATATGCAAATAGCCCATTATTAAAAACAGTTTGGACACAAGAGCTACCAAGTCCTCTAGCCCTTTAGAATACAGTGCACTAAACAATAAAAATATATAGGACTATGTATTGGAGTAGGATGGGATCAGATGTTTAGAATGAAACGTCTGAAATCTTTCAGTATAACTTTAACTTAAAAAGTGAAGGCAACTTGCAACTTGGCAGCTGGAACCATGATTGGTGTGCTAAGAATTTTATTTTATTTTTTTCTAGACTGCACTAAACTAAACAGCTGATTAGGAAAATGTGTGTGTTTTATGCTAAAGCTAACCCCGCTGTGTCAGAGCTGTGGAGACCTGTGGAGAGGTAAGGCCCAATCACAGCTCACAGCGGTCAACAAAACTCTTTACAATCACAGGCTTTAAGGAGGCTAAATATGTTTACTGCAAAGGTACAGTCTGCAAAAAAGTCTTTCCGAAAGAACAAAAGTTAATAAGGGGAAATCAATCAGACATATTTTAATAGGCTGAATTATTTTCTCAAACAGAAAACACTTTGTTCCACCTTGTGATGTCATGAGGTATTTTGTAATCCCTCAGTCATCCAAGTAGGACCCATAATAAAAGAGAAATACAGTTCTAGCAACCGAACACAAGTTTTTGTTCGAACTGTCCACTTGACTGAAATTAATTTATCTTTTGCTATGTTATTATGTACATTTTGTTAATTGTAAAGTGTACTATTGATCTAAAATGTCTTAATAATAGAGTTGTTAGCATTTAGTAGTGCTTTTAATATGAAATAGGTATCTTAGTCTTTCAGTAAATGCACAGGTGATTACATTGTGTCAAATTCCCATTTCTGTCTTGATTAAACAAAGAGTGTTGGTGATATTTAAATACTATGACATAATAATAAAAAGTATGTGAGACTGCCATGTGGAGCAGAACAGTTTGTTCTTTGTTTCCACATTGTA